GATCAGGCCTTAAATGCACTTGCAGGGATCGATGAAAAGCAAAAATTATATATTGTTAACCATTTTAAGATTTGCCAGCTATAAACTGTTTGTATTTCAATTAATTTTTTAAAGAAAATTTCGAGTACACCGTGAAACTCTTACCCTTTAAGAGGAAAAACTCGACAGTAACTTAAAGAAGAAAATCCCAATGGCAATCGATTATTCCACATCATTGACAAAGTTCTTATGCTCCATGAAAAGAGCATTCGAAAGGCAAACGAAATAAAAGCAATGCAGATTTTCATTGTCATGTAGCAAAGTCACTCGGGCCCCGAAAGAGCAATGTGAGAAGAGCAAACAGGGTGACAGTGGGAGGGGGGGTAATGGGAACGGTCGATGGACAAGAGCGAAAGCAAAAACCAACGGCAATTTCAGGAGCATTTAGGGCAGTCGCCGTCGCCGGTCTGCAGTCCTTTTTGTTTTTTATAAAATTTGTAGCAGTCTTTTTATGCTCGAACTTCGACTACTAGTGCGCTTAACCATTTAGCTGATGTAACAACCCAGGGCAAGGAGGAGCCAACCACTCAGCCAGTCAGCCAGCCGGGACCGCCGCATTGACCGCCGACTACAGCACCAGCAGCACCAGCAGCACCAGCAGCACCACCACCATTCACCCCACTGTCGTCAGACACCGTTGAGCTCCAGTTGGAGCAGAGCCCTGCTCCGGAATGTCCTTGTCAGCATTTTGCACAGTGAAATTTTTCGGTAAAATCTATTTTTCATCTTGGATTATGTGAATACATGAATAGGAAGAAAGAAGAGTGCCAAGTTTTATTGTGACAGTTGAAGTTCGTTCGTTTCACTGCTGCTTCCTTTTCCTTTTATAGGGCTGAAGCTGATGCTGATGCTGAAGAGTCCGCCAGCTGTGTAGTCCGACGCGTTCACATTAATCAAATATCCGCATTATTAATTGACGCTGATAATGTTTTCGAGTGCAAAATGCTGCTCACGTGACCTCAACATGGCGCTCGTTGCACTCCTCCATTGTGGAGCGGTATGCGGAACTCTGCCACAGTGATGGGGAGTTTCATTTCCCTCGGTCCGGAGTGCGAGTGCTTCTGCTCTCATTCGCCTTTTGAATGGCAACCCGGATTGTCCCAACACGATTCGAGCTTCATTAGAGCCATGTTCTACAAATGCCTGCCCGCATGGTATGCCTATGTCATCTCTTCTGACAAAAGTATGCCATAAAGTATGCAATGCCCCTGGACGCATTCCTCTGTGTGCGCTTGCTCTCTCTCTCTGTGCGTGTGTGTGTGCACCTGCCTGCAATCGTAATTTCAATAAAAGTTGTTACGTGCACGTTGAAATTTTAATTGAAAGCACCAACACACACAAACACACCGTCACATTGCGCGCTTGTGTCCTCGTCCTCGTCCGCGTCCTCGTGCGTCAGCTGCACGGCGACGACGACCCTCATCAGTTGGGGCCCAGAACAAAACAGCAGCGGGCAAAACGAGGATGACATTTCAAATGCGTTGTGGCTAAGGAGATTATATTGCATCTGGTCTGATGAGAAAAAAAATATGCCACACATGTGACTGTTTGCATACACACAACACCCATCAGTGTGGGACGAGTATCAGTGAAAGACAGCTAGTTGGCAAGGTGTGTTCAGTGCTTAAAATTAACTACAAGTTAGCAGTAATGTCAGGAGCATTCAATTGAGAGCTCACATGTCTGCTCCTTGGGTAAAACATCAACAATTGTCAGAATCAGTCTCTTCCCTTACTATTTATTATTTTTACCTTTTGGTTTTAGTATTCATTTGTCTGTCTGAGGGGACATTTTTCTATTCGATATGAATGACTAGCAAAAATCGCTGCAACTCTGCAGAAGAACTGCATGGAGCGAGGCAAAGTGTCGACCGACCGCAAAGTAAGTCGTTAAAACAAAGAACCCTATCGGCTTACAGAAACTCTGCTGCAGCACCAACAGCAGCAGCAGCAGCATCAGTCCCAGACTGGAAAACATGTTCGTTTTTGGCCACTGCCAATTGCAAGTTTTGCATGTAAAGCACCAAAAGTTTATGCTAAACTTTTACCATTTTCCATAGATTCTTTTCGTTGGTTCTCTTTTTGTTTTTGACTGAATTTTAATTCCCCTAAAGTATGTAAATGTTACCGACAGCAACTATCGAACGACACCGATGTCGTTAGATTTTATGCGAAGGGTCGGATCCCCACAGACTGAGATCTTATACCCCCTTCCAGATAAATCTGCATAGAAAGCTAGTTAAACACAGCAAATTATGGCACGACTGAAGATTGGACAAGGACCTGCGTAAACAAGCAAGGGCATCGCTTACAACGGAGCACGACATGACACAGGACACGAATCGAGACAAGGCCCGTCCGGCATTTTAGCTATTTATCGAACACTCGATTCCATGCAGTGTTTAGCCAATATCATCAGTTGATGAAGACGAATTTCAAGAGCGACAGCACTAAGCATCAACAAATATTTGTCAACCAGCCCTTTGTGCTCCAGGTTGAACATTGGACCGTGGACATTGCACCATCACACTCCGAAGAATCTGCTGTCCCCACAATGTCCATAAAAATCAATATGTTCCTTACAATTGATGACTTAATCAACATGCAAAAAAAATTAATACGAAACTTGACCAACATGCAAGAGGGAAACTTTGCAAATTATGCAAATGCACTTGTCTGGATCGATGTCGATGGACTGCCATTTCCAAGGGGAGACCCTTCTGAGTGTGCTTAATGGCGCAACACGAGCTGCTCAGTGGGCCGAGCACATAATTCTCGCATCTGCCGATGCCACTGCCACTGCCGGTACCGCTTTCGCTGCTGTAGAGGTCTGAGAGTTGTGGCCAGGACTACGCCCTACGTTTTCGGGTGGTTCATCAAAGTTAGTTCGAACACAAATGAAAGTTTTTGTGCCGCAGCCATGAAAGATGCATGGCGTCTGGCCGTGGCCCACCGAACCACTACCTGCCTAGTCGGTCTGCCTGGCTCCTGCCACTGACAAGCTCTTTTTGGGCCATAGCTTTGTAAAGTCAACAAGCCAAAAATTCTTAGTACGGAAATGGCGATGAGAGAAGCCGGGATATGCTACTGGGCTGGAGCTGGGACTGGGCTGAATGCGGCAAATGCAAAAGCAAAGTTTCACCTAAACTCTTTTGTGGCTTCCATGCTATCTATAGGTGTACTGGGACGTGTCGCGACGAAAATGTCTTCTTTTTTCCGGAGATATGGTCTGGGTTGACTTCCCTCCTGCTTCACCCGTATTTGGGATCCCTTGGGCAAATGTTGCAAACATGTCTCCTAAGCAATTGTACCAACTTTTTGGACTCGCCTGGAGGCGGCCCGTGGAACTTTACTTTGCTGTGGTTTGTCTGTCCGACCGTCTGGCTCGGAGACGAACGGCAGCTCGTAAATTTCAAAAATTTTAAAACAACAGCAACAACAAGTATTTTTCACGCGCTGACCAAAATTATTTTAAATCACCTGCTGCCCCGCATTTATCATTAGAGCCAGCCAGGCAGCCAGCAGCCAGCAGCGCCACATTCCAGTAGATACCCATTCCATCGGATGGCTATTCCCCCACCAAGTCAGGCCAGAGCTGCTGGCTCCCTAACGACCGCAGAAAGTCTTCAGCCCAACTCCCAGGGCGACTACAACGAGAGCAAGATTTGCGAAAGAGCACTTTATTTTGGCCAAGCCATTGCCACGCCTCTTGCCACTCTTGCTCCTTCCTTGCCAATGCCCAACACCCACTCATAATGTTCGCTGCTAGTGCTATTGCCGCTTCTGATGTTATTTTGCCATTTTCGCGCTTGGTCGGGGAAAAACTGTTTTGTTATCACAGTGATAAATGGAAAATTATTTTGAATCGAGCAACTACTTAAAAGAATTCCCAAAGGTTGTAATAAATTTTGGCACACACACAAGCACACATACAAAGCCACATGCATGTGGCCAGGAAGGACATAAGTGAACGAGGAAGGACATCTTGGTAAGGACGAATCCAGCTTGAGCTCGGTGGCTGCCTGGCTGGCTTGGTAATGTCGTCCCAGATAAAAAGGTGATTGACGAAGCGAAAGCAAAAGTCATGGCCAAAATTCCACTTAGCAATGCAGTTGTCGTTGACTGAGAAAGAAAGGGGAGAAGGGGAAATAGCCAGGGCGAGAAATCCGTTCTGGCATGCACTTAATCCGTATTGGGAGTTGGAGATGCTGAGGGTTTTACTCTTAGAAGACAATCAACCCTGAATAGATTCACAAGCGAAAGATTTCCTGCGAGTTGCAGTCCTTGCATACTTGGAGTATCCTTGGACTAAGGGGCAATCACCGATCTGAGTGAAAAGTACAAAAGCACACAGACAAGATGAGCAGACTGAACGAGCGAGCAGTTAACAACATCTATTTTTATTTCATTAGGTACAAAAATAGCCCGCAAGGCGAAGCCGAAGGCGTCTCCGCCATCAAAACAAAGCGCAGCACTCTGAAGCAAGGTGAGCTCATAGCCGCGGAAGGAGATGGTGATAGAGAGGGGAGGGGACTGCGACTGCGACTGGGACTGGGACTGGGAGTGGGACTATGTCTTGCCACAAGAAGAAACCGTTCTCTGCTTCTCAATTAGGTTAGCTTAATTTAAATTTGGTTCGAGTGCTTGCCGAGTGCTTGGCTAGGACATTAGCAGCAAATATTAGCAAATGCTTAAAGTTCTCCTTAATTGCGAATAGTTCCGGTAAGTTATTACAAATTAGCCATGGCAAGCACTTATTAAATAAAGCAAATAACTCCAGGCAGTATGCAGTAATCCGGAATTAAAATGTCTATAGCCAAAGCCATAGAAGACAGATCACATCATCACATTATCTTCTAAATAAACTTCGAGAAGTTAAACATACTTCCACATTGCCTAACAAAAGACATACTATACTAATATATTCCTTATTTTTACCATACAGCAGCGAAAACTTGATCGATGGACTTGAACGACGATGATAATGTCGTACAGCCGCATGATGCGCGGATCATACGCCTTCCCAATGATCCATCAATGGTGGCAGTGCATGAGCTTTACAAGACTTCGGTGAATACCCTGCGCCTTCAGAGTGAACAGAATCGGGAGGTCTTCCCCGAGGCCTTCATAGAAGGTTCGTTGGATACTTTGGCCAACCTGTGCGTGAAGGCGTTGGCCAAACGGGGTATCAGGAACGCTCCACAAATTGTGGCGGAGAGACCAGAATTGATGCGAGTTCTTTACGATGCACTGGACGTGGAATTGCCGCTGAGTGATTGCTACTTTATCGATGACCAGCGCTACTGGCAACGTGTTGTGTTCGCCAAGTGCCCAGACAAGAAGCTGCGCAGGAAGAGCTGGCACGAGTACGATTGGAGAGCCAAAGGTCTGAGTCTCAAGTACGTGGAGCTGGTGGAGAGCTGCCCAGCAGCGTTCTGGCCAGAGACGCAGATGGCCGAGCTGGCTGCTTTGATCCAAGAATATGTGACAGCCATACACATAAAGAGACTGCAGGCGCTGCCGGACACGGTGTTCGCCAAGTACGATCTGAGCGAGGGGGAAATAGATGTTTCCTCGGAGTCCTCAGAGGAGGAACCTATATCCAGCGACGAACCTGATACGGATGAGGATATGGGCGAGGACGAGGGTGAAGAGGAGGAAGAAGTCCTGGAGAAGCCTGTGCGAAAGCCCGTTGTCCGTGCAAGTGAAACTGAGCCAAAGAAGGACTCCTCTGCAGTCTTGGAGAAACCTGTCTTACAGCAGACCCCCCGTACAAGTGAAACTGAGCACAAGACAGACTCCTCTGTTGCAATTGATTCTAAGAGAAAGACGGCCTTTTTGGGAAACATAAAACCAGCATCATCAGCATCGCCGTCAACATCTCAGGAGAGCTTTGACGAGACTGCAGAGCGGCGCAAAGCGCGTCATTTCCGCAACGCAGCACGCCAACAGCTGCGGGATTTGGCTGCCGAGAAATATGCCAAACACCTAGAGCGTCGCCTTAAAAGAGAGAAGATGCTAGAAGAGTTCAGGCGCACAGTTGAGCAAACAAAGAAAAAGAAAAAAAAAAAGGCAATAAAGGGTGTCTTCGACATTCCCGTCGAGCCGGAGCCATCCGATCACGAAGACCAAAAAACCGACATGCGCAACAGGGGACTGTTGTTGCGCCACCATAAGCGATTCAACTATCCCACGGAGCTGTGTCACCACATTGATCTGGGCTTTGTGCGCTTCTTTGAGAACCTGACCTCGTTCACATTGGAGTTCCTGGGCACACCGGACACCAATCACGAACATTTTAAGAGTTACCAATTGAAATTCTCATACGACGACATGACGCACCTGGCCAAGGGTTTGTTGCACCTAAAGCAGCTCCAGATCTTTCGACTGCGCAACAGTCTCATGGACAGCAAACATCTAGGCATTCTGGCTCGTGCTCTTCGGTTCATGGACTCGCTGGAAGAGATCGACTTCGGGTACGACCAAATGCAGGATGACTGCAGTAATGCCCTGCAAATAATGATGGATCGCACAACGATGTTCAAGACATTACAGCTGGAATACAACCGTCTTGGCGTGGATAGCATGGATGTGATCGGCATGGCTCTGGCGCATCACAAAGTTGAAGATGATTTCCTGGAGTACCTAGGGCTGGCCCACAATCCCCTCTGCGACAATGCCCTGGGAAAACTCTTTCACTGGATCCATGGCACCGGCCACGTGCATTCCCTCAACATTAATGGCATAGATGGGAGAACAAGCATGGCGTCTATTGGTAGAGTCATTGGGATCCTGCTGCGTAGCCATAATCCTCTGCGTCGCCTGGAAATGGCGGCGATACCCCTTGGTCCCGCAGTAGGACTAGCCCTCATACGAGCCCTAGAGCAAAACAGAAAGATTCTATATTTCGACTGTCGCGAATGCGATCTAGACTCGGACCAAGAATTCCAAGTGGACATCATAGTGCGACGCAACAATTACTGGGTAAAAAACCCGCCCATCGACGAGATATGTGATCTGATTAAAAATCGAAAGCATCCTTTAATCGAAAATGTGCAGAGCGATTATAGGAAATACAAGGAGTGCCTCATTTCTAGACCTTCATTGCCCAGAAGCAGGATTTCGTCCATCAAAGAGGTGGTCGAGGAAAAGGAAGAGGAGGAGTACGACATCTGGGCCATACTGGGCATAACAACCCGCCAAACTACTAGAATAGAGATTGAATCCAGCGAAACCTCCGAGGTATTAGAGGAGCCCTTCGTCTATGAACCCAACAAATTTAATTTGGATCAATTTCGCGAACTTGTCGATTTGCCAGGACCATCCAATCGTTTTTTCTATTTTAAGAAAAACAGAATGAAGTAATGAAGGATTTTTTAACATAAAACTCTTAAATTTGGTTACCTTTGTGGCATTAAACAATATAAAATACTTCTCCCATCCGCCTCTTTATCTACTGGGGCATCCTATCTACCCGAGTAGCGTTCCTGCCACAATCTCAAGGGCTTGGAATGTCGTTCGACCTAACGGTCACTTTAAACCTTTGCCATAAAGTGCAGCGCTGGCGTAAACTGAAATCTAATTAAGTCGCTGCCACACCCACACTCCGTGGCCACACCTCATTTGAAGGTCGTTTTAGAGCAGCGTAGAGTGCCCAGCGACGGAGACGGAGGCGGAGACTGCCGCTGCAAGTGCAACAAAGTTGAGCTGTTTGCATTTAAGCTGCGCAGATTTGGGCAACAGTGTCGCCAATTTAATGCTGCTGGTGCTTTTGCCTTCTCCTTCTGCAGTTTCTTCTGCTCCGCTCCTGTTGGCCAAGTCAATGGCGCTGACTTGGCCACTGAGCCATAAAAGAGCCAAGTCAGGATGGAGGACCAATGCGAAGTTCGTCTTGTTAACAAAGCCAAAGCTCAGTGAATATAAACATATTAATGCATATGCCCGGATCGCCTTAGGTAGTGTGTCTCTATATCTACCAATTTGGATGGATGGGAGATGAAAGATTGGGAGTTCATGACTCCATCTCGTCAGGATTCCCATGGAGGAAATATGTGTGCGCATGTAATTCAACTTATCAACGTGGCGCCAAGCAACAAACTTTTCTCATCTACTTAACGCAGATAAGCGGATGCCTTTTCTGCCTTCTGCCATGTTTACTGGCTTCTAATTTGCAAAACCACAAACACATACACAGACACCCTCATATACTTACACCAGTAGACCGAACTGAGACACTGGCGAAGCGTTGACGGCGTTAACTTAATTTTCAGCCAACAGTCGACTCAAGTCCGGGGAAAAAACTCGCAAAAACATTCAGTCGTAACTAGGCAGTGCTTCTAGGGAGGACGCACTGGTTGGCCGTTTTTCCGACTTCTCTTGTGTGAAATAAAATTAACTAAATACGCTCACGAGTAACATTCATAATAAACATTAAGCAGCAAAAGGCGAAAAAAGTCGAATAAATATAAAAAATAATATTTGCCAGACGACTCCTTTTTGCGATTACGCCGCCACCAGTGTGGCCAGTGCCAGTTCCAACGCCAGCGCCAGCGCCAGCGCCAGCGACAGGGCTTTTGCGTTGTGGGAATGCGAGCGGGCGGGTGAAATTATGGCATAAGTTACTTAGGAGTGAAGCTTGCTTCCTGCTCTCCACGCCTGTCCCAGCGCAACTCCCCCTGACAGCATCAACTTGGCTACACTTTACTTTTATGTTGCGCCCTCGGAATGTACTTGCAAGCGGAATAAAGATACAGATACAGAGATACACAGAGCTCCCAGATACAAGCACATTTGTAGCGATAAGCGTCATAAAGTTATCGTAAGTAAGCGCCGAAAAAAGTCGAAGAAAAAACCAGGGGGAACGCAGTGAAGCCACAAGTTAAAGGCAGCTCTGTACTTGGAGCCCGGAATGAAAAGGATAGAAGCGTTGAAGAGTCGTTAGTCGAAGCTTAAGATACCCTTATTTCCATCACATTTTCACTATTATAGCCGGTCCTGGAACCGATCCGATCCGATTTCTGGATCAGATCCGATCTCTGTGAAAAATGTCGAACAGATGACAGGATCAATAAGACTTGTCTTTATCAACTCACTGCTTCGCCAATATCTGCTGAAAATCATAAATACACTTTGCAGAGGGTATTATGAAACTATGACAAGGACGCAACTTTTAGCACTGTTTCGCCCTCTTTCGCTGCCTTATAAGCTATTCCCCATTGGTCGCGGCGACGACGGTCCAGGGGAAAATGTTGCACAGCAGACAGTCAGTCAATTACGCAATGCCACGGAAGTTTCGCGCTTTGTTTTCTCACCCGTTGTCAGTTTAATGAAAGCTTTCTCTCGCCTAATAATGCAGCGCATCGACGTATCTGCCAAATGGCTAAGGGTGAATCTCCGAGTTTACCTTGGTTACGATTTATTTGCCTTTGCGAGCAGGAGCTTAAGCAGTCGAACCAGAGTTTGGTCCTGGTTAAGGGGGTGTGCTCAACAAATACGCACCTTATTGGGTGTTTAATTAACCTTTAACATCGATTTTTTAAGCTGAAAATCAGATAGCGCGTGCTAGCTATTCTTGGTTTCTCAAACAATGAATCTTATGCAAAGTATCCCAATAATGAAAAGTCCTTGAACGATTTTAATGACTAGCATCTGTTGCGAAATATTTAACGTCATATTAAGTTTAATAACGATATTAAAGGAAAAATTAAAAGCAGAAAAATGTAAAGGACTATCAAAAGTCAAAAAAAAAACCCAGCCAGTAAGAGCTCATTGAATGTAAGAGGAATCTTTACAATTTAATTCACTGGACCAAGCAGCCGAGCCGGAGGAGCCCACTCCGTCCGACTAACGACAGTTGGTCGTTAATAAAACAACATTTATAGCCTGCATATACATACATACATATACACCATATACACCACCTATGTATATAATAGAATATACGTGTGAGTGTGTGTATGAGCCTGAGTCAAGCTGCGCTTAAATGACAGGCGGACATGCATAAGTGACAGTGAAATGTTGCACAGGGAAATGCAACAGCAACAGCAAATGGGCATTGGCTTGGTGTTGTGTGGCACTCCGTCTGAGATTCTTGTAATCGCTGGTCATCCATTCGGGTGAATAAATATGCCTTTACATATTGTATAGCATATGCAACGAGTTTTTCTTCTGTAACTCATGGCCTCCTTTGAAATGATTAAAGTAGCATTGGAAATATATCACTCCATTAAAGGAATATAAGTAAATCTTATCTGCATGACGACACCTTATCAAAACGGAAGTGCTGGCGTCAGCAAAAAGCCAACGTATATGCAGAAAATTATAAGAATTATAACAAGTAGTCGACTCTGGGGCATCCCATATTGAAGAGTTGCGGTTTCCCAGCTCAACTGTTGCTTGGCGAGTATATACCCGTGCGTGCCCCTGCGTTGCCGCAGCTACCCAACGTTCACCCACCTCCCACCCCACGTGGTGGCAAGTAACTGAAAGTGCCCCACCGCCACCTGTCTGTCTGTATGCGCACACGGGAAATGCATTGCACTTCCGTCATCAAATAGCAATTTTGCAAACATTTGCAATTACTTTTACGAGTCGATTTCTATATTGTATTGATTCCGTGCAAACATCCCTCCAGGAATGCAATTTTCCAGCACCTCATTGCAACCAAAGCTGCCAGTGCGGATTGGATTGAGTATAAGACCACTCATCATATCTTTACCAAGTTTTTACATTAGGTATTTAAATAGTTTTTTGACCATAAACTTGTCAAATAAAATGTCAAAAATTAAAAGCCTTATACTATGCAAAACTTGGGATTTGGCCGAAAGGAAACTAAAATGGACAAAGAAAAGCTTCCCGGTAAAAGGGAAACTCCCGAGGGGTGCCTAAAGCAAACTAAAAGCCAAATCAACCCAACGGTCCGGCGTCCAAACAGCAAATGGCGGTTATTCGCAACGGGAATGGAATGGTTCTTCAACGGGTCAAGCCTGTTTGCATCAGACATGTGTGTGTCTGTCTGTCTGACTGTGTCTGCGTCTGTGTCTGTGATGAAAAAACTGGTAACTTTAGTTTTCTAACATCCGGTCCATTTGGTGTATGACGGCAGGGTAACGACAACCTGGCAACAATCAGGCGCATATCCTGGACCGGGCTACTGGCTGTGGTTGTCATGCATTTTAAAGCACTCTCGACAAAAGTTGATTTCTCTTTTGACCCATTATGAAATTGCTCTGGCAATTTTGCATAAACAAATTACAAAGCAAACATAAGAGAAACACACAAATGCTGACCTTTCAGCACAAACTCACACAAACACCCAAGCAGTCCAAACTCTCACAATCAGAGCCCCGAGTCCGACTCTGAGTCCGAATCAGATTCACAGACGACCTGCTTCTGCTTTTGTCAGTAGAGGGACAGGGACAGGGGTAGAACAGGACTAGTTACTGAACTGGGTAACTTTTTTTTTATCTGCCTGTTTGCATAGGATCAAAAAAGCCCGACTAAAGGAGGGACTGAAAAGGGTAGGTAGCCCGTGCATCCCAGGGCGTTTTTATTGAGACCTTTAAGTTTTTAGTAAATAACACAAGAACAACTCAAAGGCGGTGGCAAATTGCCAAAGTCCTCCAATTGTATTTGTGAATAATGTTGTGCGATGCGTAACATTTGGATGATCAATGGAGGCACGGGACATTGGGCTGTCGGACAAAGGGTCGAAAGTTCTGAAGAATTTTGTACAAGTTTGCTTTAATTTGTCAGCGAATCGATTTCCATTAAAACCCAATGGGTCGGGTCAGAGTTAGCTGACAGTCCGTCGAGTTTTGAAAATGTCAAGCAGTTTGCCATTCAAATGATGCATAAAGTTTTGGATTTTTGGTGCCAGATTGACTGAGCATGTGTGTGTGGTTCTAGTCTGCGTTTGCCAGTGAAGCGGTTGACCTTTGATTGGTAGCAAGGATATGGGATATGGATGCCTTGAAAGTTGTGTCGAAACATAAGTTAAAACCTCTTAGTGGCTAAGGAGTAATATGGGAGATTGCCCACTCGGTCTCGTATTTTACATAGTGGGGCTCCTTCCTATAAGCTTTGCTTGTAGAATATTCCGATAAAAATCAGTTGAATGTTGTTCAAGTTTTCGCTTAGCAATGGATTCCCCTTAACCTTCGACATTTAAATTAAAGCAGGTTTACAGATCTTTAAAAAGACATACATTTTTTACTAACTACAAAAGAAAAACTTTTGAATGTGCTCTGCACAAGACAAAAGTTAGGTTGTCGGCCCGGATGAGCCGATTTCTTGATTATACTTAGAATTTGCAATATAGGACTTTTAATTTGTGTTAATAGAATGGATATACCTGAAGATACAGC